AGAGGCTGTCGAGTCGCTTCCAACTCATAGCCACCCCGTGTACAACAGAAGGAAACATTGCCCGGTGCTGTACCGTCCTCACAATCATTTGCTATACGTGAGCCCATCGTTACAGCCCTGTGGCAATTCATCTCTTTGAGGGGAAGCCCCTTTTTTGCTGACTCTACTTTACCAAGCATGATAATAGCCTTCTCCAGGGACTGGTCTCTTCTGATAAGATAACCAAAGTATGAGAGATGAAGTCTGGCCATTGTTGCTTCTAAGGAGCTTCCCTGCTGTACTTCCAAGACAGATTTGTTTGTTCTTCTGGCAGTCCATGGTTTATTCAATATTCTTCGCCAAAACCAAATTTAAATGCATCAATTCTGTGGTCTTCCTTACTCATTGTCCAGCTTTCACATGCATATGAGGCAATTGAAAATACCATGGCTTGGGTTAGGCACACCTTTAGTCTTCAAAGTGACATCTTTGTTCTTTAACATTTTAAAGAGGTCTTTTGCAGCAGATTTGCCCATACAATATGTCATCTGATTTCTTGATTGCTGCTTCCATGGGCATTGATTGTGGATCCAAGTAAAATGAAATCCTTGACAACTTTAATATTTTCTCCATTTATCGTGTTGGTGCTTATTGATCTAGTTGTGAGGATTTTTGTTTTCTTTATATTGAAGTGTAATATGTACTGAAGGCTATAGTCTTTGATTTTCATCAGTAAGTGCTTCAAGTCTTCTTCACTTTCAGTAAGTAAAGTTGTGTCATCTGTATATCGCAGGTTGTTAATGAGGCTTCCTCCAATCCTGATCCTGCGTTCTTCTGCATATAGTCCCTCTTATTGTATTATTAGGAGCTCTGGTAGCCTAGTGCCTAAGGCATTTGACTGCTAACCAGAAGGCTGGCTGTTCAAACCCACCAGCCACTCCTCCGAAGGAAGGTTGGCGAATCTACTTCCGTAGTGATACTGCCTCGGAAACCCAAGGAGGGGTCGCTATGAGTTGGGTCCGACTTGACCGCACATAACAACAACAACAAAATTGTATTATTTGCTCAGCATACAGATTCAAAAAGGATGGTGAAAGGATACAACCTTAATGTATACCTTTTCTGATATTAAACCACACAGCATTCGCTTGTTCTATTCTAAGGACTACCTCTTAGTCTATGTTACGTACATGAGCCCAAATTAAGTGTTCTAGAATTCCCATTCTTTGCAATGGTGTACACAATTTGTTATGATCTACACAGTGGAAAACCTTTGCATAGTCAATAAAATACAGGTGAACATCTTTCAGGCATTCTTTGCTTTCAGCCAAGATCCAGCTGACATCAGCAATGATATCCCTCATTCTACATCCTCTTCTGAATCTGGCTTGAAACTCTGGTGGTCCCCTATCGATGTTCTAAAATTGCAACTGTTTTTAATTACCTTTAGCAAAATTTTACTTGTGTGTGATATTATTAACACGGTTCAATAATGTCCACATTCTGTTGGACCACCTTTTTTTGGAATGGGCACAGGTATGGAACTCTCCCAGTTGTTTGGCCAGTGTAGCTGTCTTCCAAATTTCTTGGTATAAACGAGTGAGCACCTCCAGTGCTGCATCTGTTTGTTGAAATATCTCAATGGGTATTCCATCAATTCCTGGAGTCTTGTTTTTCAAGACTTCAATGCAGCTTGGACTTCTTCCTTCATTACCATCGGTTCTAGATCATATGCTATCTCCTGACATGGTTGAATATTAACCGATTCTTTTTGGAATCTTCTGTGTATTCCTTTCATCTGCTTTTGATGTGTCCTGAATCATTCAGTATTTTGCCCATTGTTGTTGTTGTCGTCGTTATGTGCCGTCGAGTCGAACTCAACTCATAGTGACCCGTCCTTGGGTTTCCGAGGCAGTATCGCTACGGAAGTAGATTGCCCAACTTTCTTTCCGCGGAGTGCCTGGTGGCTTTGAACTGACAGCCTTCTGGTTAGCAGTCAAGTACCTTAGGCACTATGCTACCAGAACTCCTTCAGTATTGCAACTTGAGGCTTGAATTTTTCTTCAGTTCTTTCAGCTTGAGAAATGCCGAGGGTGATCTTCCCCTTTGATTTTACAATTCCAGGTCTTGGTACATTTTGTTGTAATACTTTACTTTGTCCTCTTGAGTTGCCCTTGGGTCTCTTTTGTTCAGCTCTTTTACTTCATCATTTCTTCCATTTGCTTTAGCTACTCTCCTTTCAAGGAGCTCTGGGAGCATAGTGCCCAAGGCACTTGACTGCTAACCAGAAGGCTGGCTGTTCAAACCCATCAGCCACTCCTCAGAAGAAAGATAGGTCAATCTACTTCCATCATGATACTGCCTCAGAAACCCAAGGAGGGGTCGCTATGAGTCGAGTCCAACTCAACGGCATATAACAACAACAACAACAACTCTCCTTTCAAGAGCAGATTTCAGAGTCTCTTCTGACATCCATTTTGGTCATCTCTTCCTTTCCTGTTTTTTAAATGACCTTTTGCTTTCCTCATGTATGATGTCCTTGGTGTCGTTCACAAGTCACCTGATATTCAATCACTAATGTTCAATGCATTAAATTTGTTCTTCAGATTGTCCCTATAATCAGGTGGGATATACTGAAGGTCATATTTTGACTCTTTTGTACGTGTTTTAATTTTCTTCATCTTCAACTTGAACTTGCACATGAGCAAATGTTGATCTGATCTGCAGTCAGCCCCTGGCCTTGTTCTGACTGATAAGACTGAGTTTCTCCATTGTCACTGTCTCTTTCCACAGATGTAGTTGATCTGATTTCTGTATATATCATGTGGCAAGGTCCACATGTATAGTCACCATTTATGTAGTTGAAAAAAAGTATTTGCAATGAATAAGTCATTGGTTATGCAAAATTCTATCATGCAATCTCCAGCCATCATTTTTATTACAAGGCCACATATTCTGACTACTGATGCTTCTTCTTTGTTTCCAACATTTACATTCCAATCTCCAATAATTGTCAATACATCTTGATTACATGTTTGGTCAACTTCAGATTGCAGAAGTTGGTTTAAAAAAAAAACAAACTTCAATTTCTTTATATTTGGCTTTTGTGCTTGGTGTGTAAATTTTAATCTTAGTTGTATTAATTGGTCTTCCTTGTGGGTATATGGATATTCCTATCACTGACAGCACTGTACTTCAGTACAGATCTTGAAATGCTCTTTTTGAAACGATACCCTTCTTCTTTAATTTGTCACTCCCAGCATACTAGGGCATATGATTGTCTGATTCAAAATGGCCAGTACCAGTCCATTTCCATTTTTACAGTTTCCAATTTTCCTAGAGTCGTACATCCAGATTCTGATTATTAATTGATATTTACAGCTGTTTCTTCTCATTTTGAATCTTGTCACCTCAGCAAATGAAGGTCCAGAAAGCTTTACTCTACCCATACCATTAAGTTCTACTCTAGTTTGAGGAGGCCACTCTTCCCCAGTCGTGTTTTGAGTGCCTTCAAACCTGAGGGGCTTATCTTCCCACGCTCTATCAGGCAGTGTTTCAGTGCTAGTCTTAAAGTGTTCCAGTAATATATCAAACAGTTTCTCTGCTATTCATAAGCTTTTCAGTGGCCAATTTTTTTCCCCATGGAAGTACACCTGGCTATGTCCTTCCTCCTAGTTCACAAACTCTGCTGAAACCTGCCAACCCTGGGTGACCCTGCTGGTATATGAAATACCGGTGGCATAGCTTCTAGCATTGCAGCAACATGCAAGCCACCGCAATACAAAAAACTGACAGATAAGTAATAGTTTATACCCTGGAATGCAGTAAGCTTTACCCCCTTTCCAGCAGAAAGCTGCTACGGTACAATAATTTCACAATTAAAGCTGGAAATAAATGTGCTGTAATTAAAAAAGCCCATTTTGGAAAATTCAGAAAGTAAAGTTTAAAAGAAGAGACAGCTGTGACAGTAATCCTCCTGCCATAAACTCCGGGAAGGCAGAACCTCGGGTGTTGCTCCTCAGTGTCTTCTAGTGCCTGACTGTACTCACCACCCAGAAGTAGCGGCTGCGGCACAGCAACAATGACAACACCACCACAGCAGCTAAGGTTTCTCAAGCACTTGCTGTAAGCCCTTGGCGTGGATGATCTCATTTAATGTACACACAGCTCGATGATGGAGATACTATTGTTATCCTTGTTAGACGCACGAGGAAACTGAACTGCAGGGAGGCTGAGCAACTTGCTCAAGGTCTCTTAGCCAGTCTGTGGGGAAACAGAGATGCTTGATTCAATCAGTTGAATTAAATCCCTCTCCTGGGTTGCAATGAAACTGTAAGGTCCTGAGCAGAGCAGAGTCTGATTGTAACTTGAGAGCAAGGAGTGCTCCCCCAGGTTGAGCAGTGATACATGCTCATGGGAGAAAATACTGAGAATGTGGGCAGGCATAGAGAGAAGTGGAGGCCCAGAATCCACCACCCCTGTGTTGCAACCGGTCGCTGTGTCTCTCCCAGGCCCTTTTCTGGGTAGCTTTTTAAAACATGGTTGAGCTCAGACTTCATATGCAATTTGTTCTGCTGCTTATTCCACTCATATTCTATCATAAGCGTTTCCCATGTTATTATAAACTCTTCATAAACATCCTTTTAATGACTGATGCAGTCTTTTACAGATGAATCATCCAGCCTTTACAAAGTGAGAACTTAGTCTTACATGCACATTAATTTCACCTGAGAGGGATCAGGTGGCCCACAGTAGCGGTGTGAAGGCCACAGGTTGGACATCCTGGCCCTACCACCTACCAGCTCTGCCAGTTTGGGGGGTGGGGGGTCACTTCATCTTGGCAGTCTTCATTTTTTAACTGAGAATAAGGAGAACACAAAGCAATAGCTGCTGCCATGGCTGATGTGAGGCCAAAACAAGATGCTATATGCTGTCTCGGACATGTTTCAAATGCACACAGTGGAGCAAATCCCTGCTTTGCGTGATAAGCTTTCCGATTTTTGAAAATGGATGTTTTTCAGAATGCAGAAGTGGGCTCAAATTTAATCAAACTGGTGTCTACAACAGCAACAGCCCTGAAGGAAAAAGACGGCCAAGTCCACTGTCAGCCTGAATTGCTTTACGAAGGTAAAATGCGGCCTCTCTCCCAGCATTTAAAGAAGGGGCAGGTTCATGGAGACCCCTGAGGCCTTTTTATGTAACACCCCCTTCCCATACAGAGGGGCTTCATCAGGCGCAGGCCCTTGGGTTGGCCCGGTGGAAAGCATTTGGGAACTTTCTCTTTAGTCTGTCCTCAAACACTGCAAAGCAAGGCACTGAGTCATGGCTGCACCAGATGACTTTCACAGCTGCTGTCTGCAAATGCTGCGACTTATTGCTTTATTGAAAAGCACTGCACATTCGTCATTCTCTCTTTACCCATTCACAGTATCTGTGAAATAGATGATAGATGGGGCTGTCGAGTCAACTCCGATTCACGGTGACCTTTTGGACAACAGAAGATACACTGCCTGGTCTTGCGTCATCTCACAGTCGCTGGCGTGTTTGAGTCCATCATAGCGGCCATGGGGCTAACCCATTTCTAAGGGTCTCCCGTGCCCTCGGGTGCCCTTGACTTCACCAAACATGATGACCTTCTCCAGCCATCGATCCTTCCTGGTGATGTGTGCACAGCAAGCCAGTTGGACGCTGTTCTGGTGTGGTCCACAGGGTTTTCACTGGCTAATTTTTCAGGAGTAGATCACCAAGCCTTTCTTCCTGGTCTGCCTTAGCTTGAAAGCTGTCTATCATGGGTGACCCTGATAGGATTTGAAATACCGGAAGCAGAGCTCCCAGCATCGTAATAACACACAAGTCACCATAGTACTGACAGACAGCTGATGGAAAATGGTTTTACCAACCCCATTTTCCAGGTGAGAGAACTTGGTTTTCAGAGAAATTGAGTTACATGCAGAATATAAGCCCCAGAGAACTAGAATTTACGTCCCCAGAGCAAGGTCTCTCAACCCTGGCACTATTGACATCTGGGACCAGGTAATTCTTTGCGGTGGGACTACCCTGGGCTTTGTAGGATGTTTAATGACACTCCCGGCCTGCCCCACTAGATGCCAATAGCATTGCCTCTTCTCCCAATTGTAACAACCAAAAATGTCTCCAGACATTGACAGATGTTCTCTGAAGAGTACCATCACCCTAGTTGAAAAACTTGGAATGTACAATGTAAAATATAAACTCTCAGGAAGTTTTCACCCCAACAATGCTTCTGCTCATTTTAGAGCTAATCTATATCCAGATGAGTTCCGCATTGAAGTAACCTTGTGGTCAGGCACTTTCCCATGTTACTAAGTCCTTTGTAGGAACAGAAAAGTCCTCTGCAAACATTATTTTTACACAATGTGTGGTATGAATTCACCAGGTTTATTTACCGCTCCCCATGGATGCTCCTTTGTATAGTTTCTCTACACACTCACAAACATGCCACATGCACACCCATGTGCACACACATAAGTGCAGCAGTGCTCTTTTTAAAAGAATGTTAAAAAAAAATTGTAGTAGCCTGTGATTTTAATGATGTAATTCTCTTTGATTTTTATCTTGCATAATTAAAGATGGTTATACATTTAAGAACTTAGGCCTATCATATCTTACTTCTGAACCTTCTAATAGAGCGAGGGCAATTATCAGAGGCCCTCTCCCCCTCCCCTTTGTCCACCTTATTTCTGTGAGTTCACATTCCCTTTGATCCAATCCAGGGCCCAAATTAAGCTCAGGGACCCTAGATTGGGAGGTCTCTTTGGAAAGGACACCCAGCTTGGCACAAAGAGTGGAATACTCGCAGCCCTCCATTGGTGATGGCCTCATCATCTGTGCCATTTCTTCCTAGGCTTAGAGCTACCTCGGATTAACTACGTTCACAACGGGAAACCATACCGATATGTCTTTGCTGCTGAAGTTCAGTGGAGTCCAATCCCGTCCAAGGTACTGAACCTACATTATCATAGCAGGCTTCTCTACAGTAACACTGACTTCTCAGGATTTGAGACTGGGGGACCTTGATCAGAAAAGAGGTCAGGAGGGAAGCCCTCTCGAAGATGGGTAGGTAGCATAGCGGGGTCGGTTTGGGACAGAATAAATTTGAAGTAATGATGGACCATCCAAAAGAAGGTGGGACGAATGCAGGTAAGAGCTCACAGATGGAAGTGGTTCATGGATTTTGGTGTCAATCCGTATTTACTGAGCACTTACTGTGTGCTACAGTGAAACTCACCACCAGCGAGAGAGAGTAGCTGAAACCTGGAGAATTTGTTTATTTGGTTATTGTGGTACAATATAAGTAACAACACGCTTGCCATTTCAGCCATTTCTGTGTACATAATTCACTGACATTAACTATGTCCACCCTGGTTTGCAGCCATCATATTTGTTCTTTAAGCTATGTGTTGAACACTGAGTGTGTCTCAGGGACTGTGCTAAGTGTACAGTCATCACTTTGCCTTAATAGCTTCATTTTCAAATGATAAAATAGAATTTTTTAAAAAGTGCACACAACACAAATGCATGAAGCAAAAAATTAAGGTTCCCATCCAACATACCTGCACACACCCCGAGTCAGTCCCCACTAATCCCCTGTCCTAGATGGAAGCAGAGGATCTCTGGTAGCATAGTGCGTAAGGCACTTGACTGCTAACCAGAAGGCTGGTGGTTCAAACCCACCAGTCACTTCTCGGAAGGAAGCTTGGGCAATCTACTTCTGTAGTGATACTGCCTCGGAAACCCAAGGAGGGGTCGCTATGAGTCGGGTCTGACTCGACGGCACATAACAACAACAACAGATGGAAGCAGGCCTGCGAGAGAGTAGAGAGGCCCCGGGACTTGCACTGTTGAATGACAAATGGACCATATTATGCGTTGAATGTTTGCACTGAACAGCTTTTCTTGTTGTGCACATATAAAAATGGCAATGTAGTACCAATTTTTAGACGACTTCAGGATTTTTATTTTCACAAGAAGGCATTGTGCAGATCAGCTCTGTGTTGGCAAAGGGTCTAAGCCTGGAGCTGGAGGAGGAAAGTTAGCTTCTTTCACTTCAGCTGTGAGGCTGTGACTAGAGGCAGGTGTCACATGGATTGAGGGGTGGTGCAGATGGTTAATGACTCGGCTGCTACCAAAATGTTGGAGGCTCAAGTCCACCCAGGAGTGCCTTAGGGAAAGGCCTGGTGATGTACTTCTAGAAAACCAGCCATTGAAAACCTTGTGGATCCCAGTCAGACTGTGACCTGGGGTCACTGTGAGTCAGGATCGCTGTAAGTCGGAATCGGTCGGTTCATCTCCTCGTCATGTGGTCCTCGATGCCTTTCTGTTTGTGGGGAGTACGCATGCTCTCAGACAGGTCATTCCCATGTTTCTCCTCTTTGGACGTACAGATACTAAAATACGACGTTCTCACCAAGTCATCCCTAACGTGGGGAGAGGAGCACTGCTGGCCGGCGGAGCCCCTGTTCGTTCCCAGGCCGGGCGCCAAGGACGAGGATGACGGTAGGACTTAGAAGGAGACCGCTTGCTGCACAAACTGCCTGTGGCCACCCCACAGACAAAGACATCATTTGGGGACAGCTGGCTGGCCACTGGGTGCTCTGCCAGGCACCGGACATCCCTGACAGCCACCCTAGTGGGTGTGACTGTTCCCATGCCCACATCACAGGTGAGGTCACTGAAGCTTAGAGAGGTGAGGTCCTTGGCCCAGCCCCCAGGTGCCAACTCTACAGCTGATAGAATCATCCTTGGAAGTTGCCATCCGTCTGAGTCTAAAAGCCATGTGCTTTCCACTCATCAGTCTTCCACCGTCCCAGGGCAAAGAACCCTGGTCTTCAGATGCATTGCAATGGCTGAATCAGAATTTTTAACCATCTATAAGTATATGAGGAGCCCTGGTGGTGCAGTGGTTAAGGCATTTGGCTGCCAACCAAAAGGTTAGCACTTCAAACCTACCAGCCACTCTGTGGGAGATAGATGAACCAGGCCCCTTCCGAAAGATTCAAAACCTTGGAAATTCTTTGTGGCAGTTCTGGTCTGTCCTATAGGGACACTATGAGACAGAATTGACTCCACAGCAGTGGGTTTTATGTTTTAACCTTTCATGGAACATGTGGAAATGAGTTTCTGCGGCCTACCTCTTTTTCTGGGAACTCTGGTAGTGTAGTGCCTAAGGCACTTGACTGCTAACCAGAAGGCTGGCGGGTCAAACCCACCAGCCACTCCTCAGAAGGAAGGTTGGGCAATCTACTTCCGTAGTGATACTGCCTCGGAAACCCAAGGAGGGGTCGCTATGAGTTGGGTCCAACTCAATGGCAAACACCACCACCACCACCTCTTTTTTCTAGGTTTCCCCAGAAAACCTTCCCCTCTTGGCCTCTGCCTTTGCCCCAGAAATGCCCTGCCCATGCTCCAGGGATGCTGAGGAGGGTAACTAGAACCATGGGTGCCACCCGGCCAAGCCAGCTCTGGGGCTGCCCACACCTGCAGGCGAGGGTGCTGCCCACTGAGGCTGGCAGCTTCTTCCCCTCAGGTGAGAGGGAGTGGTTTTCCACCTGGCCTTGTCTCACTACTGATCAAGGCATGCTAGGCCCTGGACCTCGAGTCACTGTCATCTCCAGTGTGGGAGCTATCAGCACCACCTTACAAGGCCCATCTCCCACTTGGCTGGGCAAGTGCTTCCAGCACCTTCTCTCAGTGGATAGTGAGCATCATTGCATTTCACCCACGGGGAAGCTCAGACACGTGCCCAAAACGTACAGACAGGATTTGATTCCAGGCCGCAGCCATGCTCTGAAACCCAGGATTGTGCTCTGGGGTATCACTAGTACTTTCTGGAGGCTTCCTCTCTGCTAGAAATTTGGGCACGTGATTTTGTTCATTCACCCCCTGCCCCTTGAGGGTGACTGCTAAGAGTATTTTCATTTCACAGAGGGGAGAATTGAGGTTCCCAGCTCGCCCACGTGCAGGAGGAATGGGGCTCCTGCCTTTAGAGCATTCAGCTGAGTGTTGTATATTAGCCTAAGGGTATCCCCAAAGCTGATTATAGTCAGTTTTTACACAAGGAGAATAGTCATTGCTCAGCGCAGGCAATACTTTCCCTAGTGCTCTCCTAAGCCACAATGCCAGAGAGCCTCTGAGCCACCCCATGAGGGTGGAAACGTATCCAGGAAACGTATCCCTCCAGCTGGAAGAGGCTCATGACTGCTTTTTTATAAAGTGTTTCTTTTTGTTTTCCTGAAGGAATTATCTTGTCAGCTATTGTCTCTACCGATCCCCAAAAACCACCATTTCTGCTTATTCTGGATGCCCAAAGTTTTACAGAACTGGCTCGCGCCTCCGTGGAGGTGGACATGCACCTGGATCTGCACGGGTTATTCATCCCAGACGCACAAGAGCCGGTCCCTGCAGAGGAACTCTGGGCTGGGGCTCACAGTGGGTTCTCCATCTCAGACACAACAGTGTCGGCCTCCACGGATGAGCCCCAGGCTGGGCCTCAGAGTCAGTTACTCATCCCTGACAGGAGTGGGCTGGTCCCCACAGAGGAACCCTGAGCTGGGGATCCACACTGTGCTGTGTTCCGCAGACCTGATGACACGGAGGCCCGTCTCCTGGACACCTGGACACGTGACTCAACCACCCAACTCTGAACGTGGTCCTTCCTTTGGGTGGGGAAGGCCTACTGCTCCTCTTCGCATTGATTCCTCCTGGGAGTGCTTTGAGACACAGGAAGACAGAGTTTGTCAGTATGTTTTATTTCGTTCTAGCCATAGAACCTTCTTTGTAAGTCCATCAAATCTTTATTAACGCAGGCACCTCTAAGAAAGTTCCTTTTCCTTCCTGTGAGGACCTTGACCATGAACCAGATACCGTACAAAATCACTCTTCTCGTGGTTCTTAGGATGGGAGATCACCCATGTGTCATTGCTCTCCCTCCCTCCTGGCTTCTCCACTTCTGTCTCCCCCTCTCTCTGATAGATTACTGGCCCCACTGGGAGTTCTAATTTTCTCAAGCAGGAAGACATGCTGCTTTGTGGCCATCCATGCAAGGCAGGGCATAATGCAAAATAATAAAAACTTTAAAGTCTTTTCAGACCTTGTTTTATTTTTACATGGCTTCTTTCCTCTGAAGTCCTTCTAAAGAAGGCAATAAACTAGAGTCACCGAGCTAGATGACTCGCTGACAGAAGATGCTCCACGTATAACAGTGGGGCCAACTGATTGGGGTGGAAACCCCTTTGCCGGGACAGAGTACCCAGTGAGCAAGGTAAGCAGGGACTTACTTGTGCTTCTTCACTAACCTATAAAGAAAAGTGTCACATTTTTCACTGCATCACAAGTATCCACCCCTGGCCGGAACGCAGGAGTGAGGCCGGGGTCTGCTGGTGTGAGGACTTCCTGTGCTGAGCATCAGAGCTGTGAGATGTGTCAGCATCTGAGCGGCAGGAGGTTCTCTGAGCTTTACAAGCTGCCAGGCGTTTGGGGCAGAGTTGAAAGGAGGCTGCTGGTTCTCAGAGCCAGGTGGCGACGATGGAGGAAGTTGAGAACAAGCCAGGAGTTCTCTGTGATTACCAGGAACCCTACAGGCATTGGGTGTCACCTTTACAGACCAGTGGGTGCCTGGTGCATGGTTTAAAGAGCCAAAGGCAGGCTGGCTAATTCCCTGGTACCCACGTCATAGCATCGATACTCTTCTCTTCTTTGCACTTGCCTCCTGCCCTGAGCCTGGATTTCCTTCAGTCACCAGTGGGGATCCAATGGCCCGTTCTGAGGATGGGAAGAAAACTCCGTCCAACAGCAGCGTGTGGAAGAACCAGGGGGGCTGGCCTCTCAAAGGTGGTCTTGGCTTTGCCACCATGCAGCCACACCTAGCTGCTGCTGAAATGCAGGCTCCATGAGGACAGGAAGTTGGCTATGGATTTTTTTTTCTTTTTATTGTGATTTGGGTGAAAATTTAGAGCAAATTCACTTTCCATACAGTAGTTCACATACACTTTGTCTCATGACATTGACTACAATTTACCACAATGCAACGGCGCCCCTCCCACTTCCTCCCCATAGTCACCTCTTCCCTGTGTCCATTCCTCCATGCATTCCAGCCCCCCGAGCTGTCTCCCTGTGCATAAGCAGCCCTTCTTTCTCCCATGACTGTTCTCTCCAAGGAGTGTCTCTACCTTAGGTAAATGTTCAACTCTTATGCTTGTCTTTTGTTTGGCTGGAAGCCACAGGTGTGGGTTCAAGTCCAGACCTGAAGGGTAGCTAGGGGCCATAGTGTCAGTGGTTCCACCAGGCTCTATTGGACCAGAAAACCTGGTCCCCCCTCTTTTTTTTTTTTTTCCAAATGTTTTGAGTTTTGTTCCACATTGTTCTCTCTCTCTCTGGCTGTGGATTTTTTTAATTGAAATTTTTATTGAAATCATGTGGATTCACGTTCAGTTGTAAAGAACAGAGAGATCCATGAACTCCTCACCCAGTTTCTCCCAATGATGACATTTTGCAAGACTGTGCTATAGAATCACAGGTAGGATATTGGCAATTGATACAGCCTGCCACTCTGTCTCAGCTTTCCCCACTTTCACTTGGACTCATTTGTGTGTGTTTTGTTTTATATAATTTTACCACATGTGTAGGCTCTCTGTCTCCACCAATGTCAACTTACTGAAAAGTTTCTTCACTCCGAGCATCTGTAGTGTTGTTTTTTTCATAACTGTACCCACCTCCTTCCCACCTGATGCCCCTATCCCTAACCCTTGGCAACCACCATTTCTAAAATGTTATTTCCACAATGTTATGTAAATGGAATCCCACAGAACTAACCTTTTGAAGTGGGCTTTCTCACACAGCAGAATTCCTTGGAGATTACTGCGTGTTGAGTATGTTATTCACTACCTAATTCTCAGCACTTAGAACACTGCCTGTTGAATGAATGATTCCCCCACTAAAGAGATTCAACTCCATCATGCACCAACAAGTAATGGTATTTCCTTGAACATCTGGAAAGGTGGGGAAGACAGCTCACCTGGAATCCTACAGAGCAGCACACCAAAGGCCCCACGGAGGTTCCACACTCCCGCCATCCTCATGTGTCCAGCATTCCCATTTCCCCACTCAGCACACACACAGACCGGGAGATGGCAGAGCAAAGACTGTCTGCTCTTCCTTGGAGCCTCCTTTGGGACTCTCAGCACATCCAATCGTGTAAAGATGGGTTGGGCAGAAGTGTAAGGACAGTGTTCTGAGAAGCAGCATTGAGGCCTGCAGCTGGGTGGCAGGAATAGCAAAGGGCGGACAGACATGAAAGGTAACACCAGCCACACACTCCTTCTTCCACTTTAAGTATTTGAGAAGAAGGTAGAATAAAAATACTCCCCCACTTCCATTCTACTCAATTGCAATTGCCAAATAGTACCCAGTCCTGATCTTGAAAAAGGGTGCAGTCCTGTGGGGAAGAAAAATAGGTTCGTGGTTTGTTTACCTTGTTTAAGATGACAGGTGAAATACCAGACTGAGGAGGAAGTCTGGCACACCACATCTCGTTCTCTGAGTTTCAAAAATACCAAAGGTCAGTGCCGGGGTATTTGATTTATCTTGATCCTGAATGCCATCGCATTCCATATGCAGGCCCAGGGGGTTAGCTCAAAATGCAACAAGAGCTAAGATCAAAAATCTCTGTTTTTGAAGCACCCCCAGGAGAGTCCGTCTTACCTCCCAGCCTTCCTTGTGTTTCCTGTGAGTACAGATCCAGGAAGTCCTGCAGGAAAGGTCACTCAGGGTTGGTTGATTGCTTTGATAAGACATTTCACAAGCACTGCAAAGCATTAGGTGTCAGGCACACAGTGGGCACTCCCATGTCTGTTGACCCTCACCTCTTTCCATCAACCAAAAACCATTGTCACTGAGTCCGACTCATGGTGACCCCGTGGGTCAGAGAACTGTGCTCCACAGGGTTGCAATGGCAGATGTCCTAAGGAGCTCACCAGGCCTTTCTTCTGAGGTGCCTGTGGGTACACTCTACCTACCAGCCTTTTGTGTAGCAGCTGAGTGTGTTAACCCTTCACACCACCCAGCGAGTGCCTTTTCCTTCAAAGAGTTCTCTAATTCGATTCCAGTTGAGGAATAAGCTGGATGCACATGTGGCCACATCATTCCATGAAAAATCTAAGTGCATTCACATTACGCAGCATCGGTCCTACTCATTCTCCCCAACCAAACATACCAGTGTCACTTCTTGAAGGTCACTGGTTCAGGCTGAGTACAGACACCTTTGATCACTTCATCTGTTCAAAGATTGTTCGAATGGTTTTTCAGTGGCCAGGGGAGGTCTTTTCCATGGCAGATCCGGACGTGCAGGTGGGCAAGTCATCCCCAGCATACAGACTGATGAGGCTGAGGTGTCCACACCCTACCTTCCTGCAAAGAGTGCGGGGTGTGTCCTTAGACACGGCAGGCAAAGAGAGACGTGGGAGCATCGTATTTGGGCAGGGATGAGAGGGCCTTCTCTCTTCCTGTAATTAGGAAAGGCTTTCTGGAGGGGGTGTGAGTGGGAGCAGCAAGTGGTCAGAGGAAGCACCTGGCACTGGGCTGGCCATTGTGGGCTGAGGGCGCAGCTCGGTTCGGGCTGGATGTGGGTTGTCCGAACAAAGCAGGTGTACAGTGAATTTCCTCAGAAAAAGCAGTGGACTTAGTGACAGAATTGGGGGAAGTGCTTTTTTGCTAATTATAAAATTCATGTATGTTCATTGTAGAATGTGTGGACAAGATTAAAAAGAAATGGGGGTGGGGGAAAACAGTGACAGTCCTGCCACCAAAAGAAATCCACTGGTTGTTTGTGTCAGAATTTACATTCTGGTGATCAGGTTATAACCTACCCACCAGTTTGAAAAACAAAGCAAAAAACCCACTGCTGTGCTTCCAACTCATGGCGACCTCATGTGCTATAGAGTAGAACAGGGGGTCACCCACCAGCTAATAGCCTGCTTTTTTCACTTACCCTATGACACAAGCATTTTCCCAGGTCATTAAATTACTGTCGTGTGTGTGTGTGTGTGTGTGTGTGCGCGCGCGTGCGCACACATACTATTCCATCCGTGGACCGTGGCATAATGCACTTACCACCAGGCTACTGCAGGGCAGTTAGGTTCTTTCCAGTGTTTGACTATTGTAAATAACCCATGATAAGTAACTCTGTGCACAAAGTTCCGGCTCACACCCTCCTCGTCCCTATTCAGGCTGTTGTTATTGTTACTGTCTTTGGCTGGATTCCCAGGTGGCCACTCTGAGTCAGAGAGAACAAGGTTTGGGGTGTCACCTTTAAAGGCCCAGGTTGTTTTTCATTTTCATTGTGATAAATGTGCATGTGGTAAATAAACAAACCATTTATTTGCCTTGTTGACGTTCTCCACGTTTACAATTCAGTGATGTTATTAACTCTGCTCATCACGCTGCTCAACCTTCAACATGCATGTTCAGATATAAGTAAGAATTACACACCAGGCAAGAACTGAAGTTGGCAGTAAGCACAGAGTAGCCTCCGATGGCTTCTTCAAGGCCAATA